GTTGTTAAAGGATAGTACATTACATGCACCGAATCTCCCAGTTCTCGATGCAGGCTCTAGCAGAGATGTCACAGCTGCTGGCTTAAGAGTCCTTGTTGCGCATCCTAGGATCAGGATGGGTTCACAGGTCTTCCCGGCCCTTCGATCCCTGCACTGCTGCCTCTGGGATGAAGTGCTGAGCTGAGAACCAAGATGGAGTCAGCCACATGGCATCTTTATCCCTCCTTCCTGCTCTCTTCTTGGCTGCAGCAGGTCACCTGGCCAGCGGCCTATCACTGTGTTCCCTGCTGACAGCCCTTAGGTGTCGGTCACCATTCCCGAGGTGTGTCCTTGGCCCATCAAGTGCTATTGTCCCACAGGGCCTCGCTAATTAGCATGGCCATAGGCCAGGCTCTGCCCAATGCTCAACCACATGCAGAGAGACTTCCAGTCTCCATACAGAGTACAGATTCCTAACTCCACACACAGACATTATACAGATCTATGAAGAGCAGATACAGAATCCGAAGAAAGTAGCTTTTGTTTGACCCCTCACTTTGTGCCACTTTTGGGGCGAACGCCCCCCCATGGGTGCAGCAGTGACCCGGCTGCTCCCCTCACAAGCCAATAACGTGACACCATTGCTCCCTGAATTCAGCTTTACGGTAGGGAACTGGTTCCAATGGAGGGACAGACAGACAGGCCAACGATGAAAGCACCTGTCTGGAAGGGGCTAAAGCAAAGGCCTCTCAACGGGCAGATGGCCCACCTAGGGCTTTGATCCAGGCCACGGCAGTTCCAGGCCCTGCCCCCTGACGGGCGTGCCCAACCTGTGACACGCATGCCACGGGGAGAGGGAGTTCAGCCCCGTCCCTCCTCCCCCCACAAAGCCACTGGAGAGCACCGCTTAAACACATAAACAGGCCAAGGTATTTGAGAGTTTCTTATTTCAATCATGAACCCTTATAGGGAGTGTCAAAAATGGCTACTTTTTAAGATTGTGTCAGTGTAAATAGAGAAAGAATGAGAAAATTAGGCTAAAAAAGAAACTGAAAAACACACTCTCTTTAGATCAGTGGTTCTCAAAGTGCAGTGCTGCCTCCCAGGTGGTCCGTGGCTCAAGCTCAGCCCCCCTCTTCTCCGACACAGCAGGAAGCCTCATGGTCAGCGCACAGCCGTGAGGCTGCAGCACCCGCTCTGGCTTTGGGGGTCAGCACCCGCTCTGGCTTTGGGGGTATGTGGGATGAGAAGGGAGGTGGAAGAAAGCAAACTCATCCCCACCCCATGGGGCACAGAGCTACAGGTGCATACTCTGAACCCCTCATTTTTGTTCCCACCCAAGAGCTTAAGGGGGGGCCCATAAAATCCACTAACCCCGGAACCCCAGAAAAGTAAATCTGATCTATGTGAAACCCTGAACCTCAGTCCGCCCCCTTCCCTTGCTCTCTCCCCGTGAGTTTGGGGCACCAGAGGAGTGAGGTGTCGCAGTTGGGACCACATCAGCGAGTGTTGGGGGGTTTTGGAGGAATTTTTTTGCTTCTCACTTGTGGGTTCCCAACTGATTTTTTTTGTGGGTCAGTGACCCCTTGACCCAAAGAGGGTTCCCCACCTCTGCCATTAATAAGAAAACATTGAAACCTTCTGTGTTGGACAGAATATTTTACTTTCTTTTAAAACGAAGTTTGATAAACTAACAGGAGAAAGTTAAAATGCTTCGTCTGTTTCATAATTTAAGTTCAACCGTTCTCACTAGCTGCAGCTGATTCAGAAAATAAGGTCACTGTACCCAATAGGGTAGTTCTCAACCCCGCCCCTTCCATCTCAGGCCACGCCC